TTGTTTGTTTTAAATTTCTGACGGGTAGTAGGCATACCTGGCATCCTGGGAGATCCTGTCCCAGATTTCGTCTCTAACAACTAATACAAAAATGATGGTTATCATGATGTGACATGAAATTGCAATCTCTGCCCAATTAACTGCTTACTTTAAAAAACAAAACTATATGCTTATATAGGAATTCTGCTTTCCAACTACTTACGTTATCCATTTTTATACCATCTCAGGCCAGAAAATTTTTTGTCATCTTGCTGGTTCCCCCTGTCAGCAAACTTGTATCATGAGACAAGGTAAAGATAAATATATCTGAGAAATTTTGTTTTTTGACAGGTAATCGTCAAGCAGGTAATGGTGTCTGAACTTACAAAAATACGTAGTAGCTATGCATTCATTTTAATGTATATACAAAAATAGATTGAATAAACCTATGGGCTTATTGTTGTTGTTTTGCTAGGTCTAGGCTAAGTAACAGAAAGAGAGTAGAATAAAAGAAATCTTTTTTAAAAGTTCAGAGATTACAAGGATACAGTAAAATCAGGAAAACAGTACTCAAATTTCAAAGTTTAGGAGCAGAGTGTGGTACCACATGCCTGTAATCCCAGCATTTTGGGAGGCTGAGGCGGGAGGCTTGCTTGAAGCTGGGAGTTCAAGAACAGCCTGGCCAACAGTGAGACTGTCTCTACAAAAAACAAACAAACAAACAATTTAATAAAAAATAAAAGTTCATGGCCAATGTGGTGGCTGACACCTGTAATCCCAGCACTTTGGGAGGCCAAGGCAGGCGGATCACTTGAGCTCAGGAGTTTGACACCAGCCTGGCCAACATGGTAACAGAGAACAGCAGGTAGGCACCTGCTGTTCAGGAGGCTGAAGCAGGAGAATTGCTTGAGCCCAGGAGGCGGAGGTTGCAGTGAACCGAGATCGGAACACTGCATTCCAGCCTGGGCGACAGAGGGAGAGTTCGTCTCAAAAAAAAAAGTTTAGGAAACATGAAAGAGTAATAAAAATAAAATTCATGTGGATTCCTGAAATTTTATAAAAGTGGTATTAGCCTTCGTATTTCTCTGAGATAAGGCTTCAGTGGCATGTTGAAAACCTGCTACAGTGATGGCTGACTCTGTATCCTTTAGGGTACGCAAGGCCCAGTGGTGCCTAACTGCTGTTCTTTTCCACTTTGTAGAGGAAAAGCTCACCGCTGCCACTGCATACCCTGATGTCAACTCTACTCTAACAAGCTGGGGACACTGTCCCCAGAAATTTCACAGGACCACACACCAGCTCCACAGCCTCCGCCTTCTGCTCTGCAAGCCATCCTTGGGTAAGCCTGCTCACTCTCACAGCTTCACCTACATGGACACACTAAAGGCTCTAAATGTTTTTTCCTACCCTACTTCTTGTCTATGCTCTACCTACTGATAATTTTACCTGTATGCACTTCAAATTCAACATCTTCAAACTCAAAATCATTCTTTTTTTTTTTTCTTTTTTTTTTTGAGACGGAGTCTCACTCTGTTGCCCAGGCTGGAATGCAATGGTGAGACCTCAGCTCACTGCAACCTCCGCCTCCTGGGTTCAATAGATTCTCTTGCCTCAGCCTCCCAAGTAGATGAGGTTTCACTGTGTTGCCCAGGCTGGTCTCAAACTCCTAAGCTCAGGCAATCCACCAGCCTCGGCCTTCCAAAGTGCTAGGATTACGGGCGTGAGCCAATGTGCCCAGCCCAAACTCATTCTTAATATCTCCCTAATCTCCTTTTCTTCCCTTACGTCCATGAATAGGTTTAAATCCTTACCATCAATCCCAGACACCCCAAGGCCTCCCTATCTTCTAGAAACGCCTTTCCTCCATCCTCACTTCTATGCTTTACAACAGAAGCCTGGCCTCTCTGACATGGATGGGCAGAGCCGCTTCCTGACTGCTCCCTATATTTGATCTCTTTCTCCTGTACAGGTTTTTTCTGCATTACTTCAAGACTAATCTAAGATAAAAATCTACTCTCAAACATCAGTAGCCATTAGGGAACAAGGTCAAATTAAAACCACAATCAGATACCAGGCACATCTATAATAATGGCTTAAATAAACATTATGATAACATTGAGTACTGGCAACAATGTGGAAAAACTGGATCATTGCTGGTGGGAATGTAAAATGGCACAGACACTCTGGGAAAGGGTACTGCAGTTTCTTACAAAACGAAATATGCACTTACCATATGACCCAGCAATCGCAGTCCTGGGCATTAATCCAGAGAAATAAAAGCTTATGTTCACACAAAATCCCGTAACTGAAGGTTCAGAGTACCTTTATTTATAATTGCCATTAACTGGAAATGACCCGTATGTCTTTCAACAGATGAATGGTTAAAGAAGCTATGGTACATCTATAACATGGAATGCTACTTAGCAATACAAAGGAAAGAACTATTGATGCACACAACAAAATTAGGTGGCTCTCAAGGGAATTCAGCTGAGTGAAAAAAGCAATCTCGAAAGATTATATACTATATGATTCAATGTATATAGCATTCTTAAAATGACAAAATTACAGAGATGGAGAAAAGATTAGCAGTTGCCAGAGACTGAAGTTGAGGGGACATGGCTGTGGCTATAAAAGGGTAACAAGAGATCCTTGTGATGGAATCTTTGCATCCTGACTGTGGAAGCAGTCATACAAATTTACACCTTTAAATAAATGCATAGAACACACACACACAAACACAAAAAAAGGTGCATATAAAACTGGTGAAATCCTAAAGTCAATGGATCCTATCAAGGTCAATCATTGATATCCAATGTCAATCAATGTCATTGATATCAATGTCAATCATTGATATCCTGTTGTGATATTTATTGGACTATAGTTATACAAGATGTTACCACTGGGGGAAACTGAATGAAGGATATACAGGATCTCTATATTATTTTTTATAATTACATATAAATCTACAGTTAGCTCAAAATAAAAAGGTTTTTTTTTTTTTTTAAATCTCATTAACTTCCAATAGTTCCCCAATGCCCATAGTGAAATATTTCTTAGCATGGCATGCAGAATTTCCCCCAACCTATAATCCCTTTATACATCCTACACCCTAAACAACTAGTTTTAAGAGCTAACATTTATTGAGCACTGGCCATTTGCCAGGTACCATTTTAAATATTTTATATGTATTATCTCACTTACTCCTCAGTGATCCCATGAGTCAGGTACTACAGTCAACACCATTTTATATACAAATGACGTAAGTAGCTTATCCAAAGTCCCAACATGTCATATGCTCTTTCCATACCTTTGGGTCTATACTTGTACTGCCTAAAAAGCCTCCCCACCTAATTGCCCTTTAAGGCCCTGCCCCAATGTTACCTTCTGACATTTTCTAGACTTAACTGTTACACTAACTGTGTCTAGCACTCAGAGGGTATTCGATAGATGTTTAATCAACATAAGGTCTAGACAAAAGGACATGAGGAAGTTATAAAACTGGCACCACGAGAAGTATTTGACACTGATTACATTGGGCCTGTTTCTTTGAAGTTAAACCTGAACGGAAAAGCATTCTATAATACACAGTAGGGTACAGAGAAGACTCATTAGCAAGAAAATGTTAATTAATAAAGCAATGGCTTTAATACAGCCAAAGAGGGAAACATAGTATCAGGCTAAAGAAAGGCCAGTGCCAGCTGCAAAGTCTGTACCTTTCTCAAATTTTCGCATAACAAATACACCAACATAAACCTCAACTTCCTAAACCTAGTCCATTCTGCTTTATTAGGTACTTTTGTAAGAAAAGATATGCTTTTTTTCCTCAGGAAAAAGAATATTTTCTCCAGGTGAAAATGCATCTTCATTATTTCCCTTGGAGGAAACTACATTATTATCTAAAGACTGCTTAACTTATGAACTCGCTTGAAAAACATACTGATTATCCCACAACTATCTAGAATTGTTCTGAAATCTGAGTCTCTCCAAAGGATTCACATTTTATTTTATTTTTCATTTTTTTTGGAGACAGTCTCACCTGTTGTCCAGGCTGGAGGGCAGTGGCATGATCTCGGCTCACTGCAACCTCCACCTCCTGGGTTCAAGTGATTCTCCTGCCTCAGCCTCCTGAGTAGCTGGGAGTACAGGTGCCTGCCACCACACCTAGCTAATCTTTGTATTTTTAGCAGAGACAGGGTTTCACCATGTTGGCCAGGCTGGTCTCGAACTTCTGACCTCAAGTGATCCACCCACTTCAACCTCCCAAAGTGCTGGGATTACAAGTGTGAGCCACTGCACCTGGCCAGATTCACATTTTAAACACGGATGACAGAAAGTAGAAGAAAACACCAAGTTTGTTTAGGTACATGAATGAAGCTTATTCTCTGTCGTCGCCCCCACGACCCCCTCCTCCTCAATAAGTTGTCTTCTCTTAAGCACAGCCTTTTCAGAAGGCACCAACATAGAGTAAAAGCGAAAAAGAGGAGAATGCTCAGCACAGATCAGGTGGGAGGCTGAAAGCCAGCCTCTCTTCCACGTATTGAGTGCTTACTATGGACCAGAGACTCATAAATAACTATAAATTCTTAACAGTAACCTAAAGTCAATAAAGAAAAATACTTTTTTTTTTTTTTTTTTTTTTTTTTTTTGAGACAGAGTCTCACTCTGTCACCCAGACTGGAGTGCAGTGACATGATCTCAGCTCACTGCAACCTCTGCCTCCCGGGTTCAAGCGATTCTTGTGCCTTAGCCTCCCAAGTATCTGGGATTACAGGCGCCTGCCACCATGCCTGGTATTTTTGTACTTTTGATAGAGACAGGGTTTTACCACGTTGGCCAGGCTGGTCTCGAACTCCTGACCTCAGGTGATCCACCCACCTCGGCCTCCCAAACTGCTGGGTTTATAGGCATGAGCCACCATGCCCGGCCAAAAAATAAGTTTCTAAATTACGCATTATATGAAAAAAAGAAGATGTGTTTTAGTACAATTAGCAGATAAGAGACTCTTAGGAAAGGAAACTGACCGGTCGAGTTCTCCTGAACTTGGAATCTTCGCGGTCTCTGTGCGGCCCAGAAGTGCTGGTTCTCTCCCTCACACTTCTGTACCCAGGACTGGGGATGATATACTCTTTTCCTATGTCAATATCCTTCATCTTCTCTGAGTGGAGGTTCCAGGGCTCATAGACTCTTAGTTTCCCATCAGAATTCCTGAAATTAAAAATTCATCAAGAAATAGATTATTTCCTAAACAGTACTTAACCATATGTTCAAGTGCCTTAAAATACGGGGGGGGGGGGGGGGGGGGGAAGGCAAAAGTACTAAAACTTTCTACTGTTATAGCTATAGCTACAAAAATTAATTTTCAAAAAATGTTCAAAGACTTTTGTTTCATTTTTTTAAAGAAAAAGATTCAGTATAAGAGAATCAAGAAAAATTACCTTCTCCCACTTCTAAGGGAAAAAAATTTAGAAAAAGTAAACACACTAGTAAAGAGACACCCACTCTCTTCAACTAAGCTCAAATCCAGTGTATACAGCATACAGATAGGTTGGTTTTTTTTTTTTAAAGACTTCATAGAAACAATTTCAGTTTGTCCCAAGTATTAAAAACTCCACAATTTTAAAGTGGACATCATTTCTCCCACTAAATTTTACTAAATAAAAACTCACCGAACACTTATTCTACCAATGATATATTCCATCTCTGCCTTTTTATAATTAACTAATGGGCTAGCTGGTGTTATTTTAAAGCTCCATGAAGTTATACAGTTAAAACAATATTATAACTTAACTTCAAACACAAATTCCCTGGGTACTGAAAATGTTCTAAAACTAGATAGTGCTAATGGTTGCACAATGCAGTGAATACACTGAAAAAAAACCACTGAATTGTATACTTTAGAAGAGTGAATTTCATGGCATATAAATCCTACGGCAATAAAGCTGTTATTAAAAAACAATAACAAAAACAAATTCCCCACCCTGTATTACTAAGTCTTACCTAGTTTTTACCTGAAACTCTGTTCTAAACCACTGCTTGCCTGGCTAAGTCTAATCAATATCCTGTGTCAACTCAGGTCACTTAAAAACAAACAACACATACATACTTCTCTAAAATGTTTCCCCCCTCTAAGAAGGGTCACAGCCCCCCAGAGACAAGCTGAGAAAACACTTTTCAGACTAGCCTCCAACGGAAATTAAAGACGTGTAGCCGTGTTGCTTTCTGGATTCCATAAATCCCTAGCTATTGCTGTGACTTAAAAGTACTACTTCTGCAGCACAAAATTCTAACCATTATAATGCATTTTTTAGGGTGTCAAATAAAAAGAGAACACTTAGTAATCCTCTAAATAAAAAAGACTAAATCTCCTCCGCAAAGACAGGTTTCCAGTCCAAAGAAAGCTTGACTTCTTGCCTTTCAGAATTCTGGTTCAAGTACCCTAAGTTGTTATAGCTGTTACTTATCTTTAAAAAAAAAAAGTCACCTTGTCCAATGACAAACTACACCATAAAGAACAGCGGCTCACCAAGCCAGAGCGCAGCAATCACGTCATTGAGACCTCATTAAGGCTAAACTATAAACAGACCTGGCATCTGCCAGTGTCCCCAGTGTTGAGCTGTAGCTGTAGATCAGAGTAACCTTCTTGTTACGAGAATCACGGAAGTCTAACCTTCCCCTTCAAGGGTTCCCTAGCTTAGCTGATTATCTGGAAAAGGAAAAGATTAGTGCTACCTTTTTTAAAGGTGGGGGTTGGGGCGGTGAGCGGTTTGAAAGAGAGGTGGTCACTGGAACTCATCCACTATACGAAATGCCATGTCAAGAAGAACACGAACATCATCTCAATTATCTAAGCACCCGTGATAACCAAAGATTCTTTCAACCACTTTTATTTCAAAGGATAAGGCAGAATTAGTGGAGCACAGGAGCAGAGAGAGGCAGGGACAAAACGACTTCCCTGTTATGACACAAATAATGACTGTTTTGTGCCCAGAGTGACTGCTATGGTAGACACTGCTAAATTATCCTAAGGGACTAAGTTATTCTATGTATGAAGGGTGTGGGGAACAGTGTTCCATTATCTCTAACACACTCATCTCTACTTTCCTGGAAAAAGAGGCACAATCAGGGGAGCAGGCAGGCCCAAAGTAAGCACAAAGTTACTGTCTATGGCCTTGAACATAAGGACACCATCGTCTGTGTATCTGGAACATAAAAGAGGGCACCCCACGTGGAGGCCGGCGAAGAGCTGGGAATCCTGACAGGTTTGGAAAGAAACAAAGCCCCAGTCTGAAGCAAGCAAGCAAGGATGGATCCCCAGGTCAGCCTTTTTATTGATACTATTTATATTTCTCTATCTTCTCGTGTTCTCCTTTGAAGTTGTTGGAAAATCTTTTTTTAAATGCTCACTTGCCTCAGCTATCAAGAGAGGAAGAAAGAGAAGGGATTTTTGTTTGTAGAAAACAAACCTGTTGTCCAGACCTGTACAAGGGTAGAAGCAGAATAATCAAAGTGGGAGAACCCCAAAGAAGTCCCAACAGGGTTGAGGCCACTTAGCTGCCCTTTTTTTTACCAAGATTCTCTTTCCACTGATTAAAGTGTAGACAGTCTCCCTACACAATGATACTGATTCAACTGCATGGCAGCAGGAGAGTTGCACGGGACTACACGAACTGTTGCCTAGCCAGACTGGTGTGTGCAAGCTGCAGTCATCCCAACACTCTTGAGTAGGTTTCCATCACCTCCAGGCCCTCAAGCTACACAAGGAAGACACCACGCTAAAGGGATACGTATTTACCACACCCACTGTAATCCACTTGTTGCGTCTCCAAGCAGCCTCACCTTTCATGCACGCCGCAGACCCCAGTAAAACCTAGCCATCTCCTCCTCCGAGACCTCCTGAAACTTTCCCGGTCGTTCCTGTGCCTACCTGCCTCCAGCCTCTCCCTCTGTGCAGAAACCAAATGACCCCTGTGTGATAAACACAAAGCCACCCGCAGCTCTGTGTGGCAGAAGCGAAAAGAGCACTGGATGACCGTGGAGAGATCTGGGCTGCGTTCCCGGCTCAGCCACGGGTTTGCTGCGCGTGCTTATGTCACGTACCTCCATTTACCCGCTTGCAAAAAAGAAGGGGATGACTTACTTCGAAGGTCGCTGGCGGCTCCGCTGCGGGTTGAGCATGGTGCCCCGAGCCGCCCGTTGCACAGCCTCCCGGGTGGGCGCTTCTCTCAGACGGGCTTCGCCTGGGATGCCCGGGCCCTAGGGCGTTCCCACAGCCCGCTCCGGCCTGGCCAGGCGAGCGCGACCCACACCCACGGCCCACGGGCGCAGCGCCCCCTGGCGGCTGCGGCCAGAGACGTAGCCCGCGTCCCTGCCCGCTCATCCCAACCCTACCTGCCTGTCTTCCAGTACACGACCCCGTCACCAGACCCCGGGCTCACAGGCCTAGGAGGCGGCGGCAGGAGACCAAGGGGAGGCCATACCCCGTTCCCCAAGTCTCCAGTGTCCCCCGAACTGCTCGTAGCCCTGGCCACATCCCGCCACGCCCCGAGGAAATGCAAAGCGGTGACCCCCGTGACAACCGAGCTGGAGGGCAGGGGTGCGGCAGCAGCCATCACCTACCTGCGCCCCTGCTCCAGGACAGCCGCGCCGGCCGCTCAACCACACTCCCGAGCATGAGCCCCGCAGCAAAACAAGCCTTTATAGCGGCATCGGCCGCCACACCGCGCAAGCGCGCTGCACAAAGCATTCCCAAGGCTGAAGGGAACTGTAGTCCGCCTTCCGAGAGCCCGGGGCTGCGGATGCGGCTAAGAACTACATTTCCCAGAAGCGCCGGTGACATCCCGGGGGCGGTGCGGGCTGCCCCTCTTCCCACCGAGCTCCCGGCTCCGTTCCATCCTTGCCCGTGCCTCTGCGAGCCTATCTGGAATCTTCTCCGGGGTCGTGTTCCCGGGGGGAGTCAGCCGGGAGGCTTAACCGTGGCCCTGTGTTCGCACACAGTGCTGTTCGTAGGCAGGGCAGTCCCGACCCTGCGTGGCCGTGCAGCTGCCAGAAAAGATCGTGAAGGTCATCGTAGCCCGCGTCTAACCCGTTGAGAGTCGTCAGGCCGGCCAGCCCCAGTTCTTATCTGTTGTGGCAGATATGATTGCTTGCTCATGGTTCGACCCTGCATTCTGCGCAGATACCGGCTTTCTCACTTTAACACCAACTGCCCATCAATGTCGCGCTGCCTGGTCTCTAGATAATAAAATGCCAGGATCACAGTCTTAGAAGTGGCAAGAGCCTTAGAAATGGTATGCTAACTCATCCTCTTCTTTTTATAAATGAAACTGAGGCTCCCGGTAAGATTGATCCCTTTATCGAAGATCGATCCCTGTTTCATCGGTACCTTCAGCATCATTAAATAAAAACCACTGTTGAGTTCTTCCCTACCCTGTATCCGATGCTTTACATACCATTCTTGTTTCCTTTAATCTCCATTACAGCCCTATGAGTAGGTATTATGAGGTTGTGTTTGTTTGTTTTTTTAAGAAGGAGTTTCGCTCTGTTGCCCAGGCTGTAGCGCAATGGCGCGATCTCGGGTCACTGCAGCCTCCGCCTCCCGGGTTCAAGCAATTCTCCTTGCCTCAGTCTCCCGAGTAGCTGGGATTACAGGCGTCCACCACCACGCCCGGCTAATTTTCGTATTTTTTTAGTAGAGAAGGGTTTCGCCATATTGGCCAGGCTGGTCTCGAACTCCCGACCTCAGGTAATCTGCTTCCCAAAAGTGCTGGGATTACAGGGGTTAGCCACCGCACCCTGCCGTATTTTTTGTTAATTCAAAGGAGAAGGAGGAGAAGGAGGAGGAGGAGGAGGAGGAGGAGGAGGAGGAGGAGGAGGAGGAAAAGAAGAAGGAGAAGAAGAAGGAGAAGAAGGTGGTAAAGTGATTTGTCCATCTTTATAACAACTAGCTAGTTAGCTAGTGTGAAGACACTACTGTATCATAAAGCAGTGTATTCTTGCACACGGATTGATAGACCAATGCAATAGAATAAAGAGCCCCCAAACAGACTGTTGCATACATGTAACTTGATCTGTGACAGAAAACCTTACAAATCTGTGGGAAAGGAAGAACAGTCAATAAATAGTACTGGAACAATTGTTTATACATATGAAAAAACAATCAGGGATTACCGCTTCATACTGCACAGAAAAAAACCCATTTCAGGTAGCTCAAACGCTTACATGTGAAAGGGAAAACTTAAAAACTTTTAGAAGAAGGCAGGAAATATCTTTATGAACTTGGGAGTAGGAAATAACTTTTTAAACAAGAAACAAAAAATAAAGGAAGAAAGGTTGATAATTTTTCATATATTAAAAGTAATACCTCTGTATAAGATGGCATACATTGAAAAGATAAACCACAAGTTATAACTGACAAAGTTTTTGAATAAAAAATACTCAAAATAATGTCTAAGTTCAGTAAGAAATGGCAGATAACCCAGTAGGAAAATAGGTAAATAACCTGAACAGACAGCTCACAGAACAGGAAACTTGAGCAGCCACTCAAATATGAAAAGACACCCAATCTCGTTAATAGGGAAATGGAAATTTTTTTTTCTTTTTCTTTTTCTTTTTTTTTTTTGAGACAGAGTCTTTCTCTGTCCTTCAGGCTGGAGTGTAGTGGTGCGACCTCCGCTCACTGCAACCTCCGCCTCCAGAGGTCAAGTAATTCTCCTGCCTCAGCCTCTGGAGTAGCTGGGATTACAGACACCCGCCACCACGCCCAGCTAATTTTTGTATTTTTAGTAGAGATGGGGTTTCACCATATTGGCCAGGCTGGTCTTGAACTCCTGACCTTGTGATCCGACCACCTCGGCCCCCCACAGTGCTGGGATTACAGGCGTGACCCCTGTACAGGTGTGAGACCACGCCTGGTCCAGAAATGTAAATTAAAATAGTAATGAGATACCATCTCACCAAAGATTCTAGTACCTTCCAACAATGCCTCAAACACTGTAACACCCAAAACTGCAGATCTGATATGGTCATATTTTTAAAAAAGCTTCTAAATCCCCCTGAAATACTTCATATATGTTGATTATAGTTTGTTTTTTATTGAAAAAGAATAGATGGGCACCAGACAGCCCTGGTGGCAGGCTTCAATACACTGTAGTACTGTCTTGGTCTGTCCAAGTATAGTCTGAGTGAAAGAATTATACTTACAAAATTACCCCCTCAAAATGTTTGTATTGTGAAATGTTTAGAGGGGCGATATTTCCCGGACCTCAGGCAACAGGGCTAGAGAATTTATGTTGCAGTGTAAAATTGTGTGTATTTCTTTTCTTTTCTTTTTCTTTTTTTTTTAGATCTTGGCTCACTGCAACCTCCACCTCCAGGGTTCAAGTGATTCTGATTCTCCTGCTTCAGCCTCCGGAGCAGCTGGGATCACAGGCGTGTCCCACCACACCCGGCTAATTTTTGTAATTTTAATAGAGACAGGATTTCACCATATCGGCCAGGCTGGTCTCGAACTCCTGAGCTCAAGTGATTCACCCGCCTCAGCCTCCCAAAGTGCTGGGTATATAGGCGTGAGCCACCGCACCCGGCCAGAATTGTGGGTATTTCTAAATAATATTTATGTTGTGTAATGTACTAACCATATTCATTAAGTATTTGATGGAGATGCAATGGAGCTAAAACAAACACATTTCCAGCCCTCATGGGGCTTAGACTCCCAAATAAACACTAATCAAAATTTAAATAATTGTAGTAAGTACAAGGAAAGGAGGTGTGTGTTTCATCTGAAGGAAGGAGGAGTTTGTGAAGTGAAGACAGTGGAAGTAGGCAGCAGAGACAGCAGTTGAAGTAGAGGAAACAATGAAGACCAGGTGGTGGTAGAAGAAAGGGAGCATCTCCAAACATGTAGATATTGTTACAGGTCTTCAGGAGCAAAAGGCAACTACTGAAAAGTTTTAAAAAGGTGAATATGTTAGGAGTTGAGAAATTAAATTTACCTTTTGGGGCCGGGTGTGGCAGCTCATGGCCTGTAATCCCAGCACTTTGGGAGGCTGAGGTGGGTGGATCACCCGAGGTTGGGAGTTCAAGACCAACTTGGCCAACATGGTGAAACCCCATCTGTACTAAAAATTAGCTGGTTGTGGTGGCACACACCTGTAATCCCAGCTGCTCTAGAGGCTGAGGCACGAGAATCCCTTGAACCCAGGAGGCAGAGGTTGCACTGAACCAAGATCTGGTCACTGTACTCCAGCCTGGGTGATAGAGCAAGACTCAGTCTCAAAAAACAAACAAACAAACAAAAAACAGGAAAAAAAAAAAAAAAGTACCTTTTGGAAACTGCACTGTGGCTGGCAGACGAGAAAAAATTTGAGACCACTAGAATGGGAGAGAAGAGGCCACCTAGGAGCGACTGTTGTTATCTAGGAAAGAGATCATGGTGGCTTGGATTAAGGTTGTGATGGAAAAGATGGAGAGAAAAAGGTGAACTCAAGAGAAATTTAAGAGGTGAAATCAACAGAACATGTGGATGGATTAGGTACAGGTGAATGAGAAAGAAATGTCAAGGGTAACACGTAGGCGGTTGTGGAACTGGATAGACGGTGGTTTATTCATTGGCAGAAGCGCTCTACTGCAATAGCCTGACACCCTCCTCTACCTAGCTTGTCTAGAGCCAATGTCAAATGCTAACAATCACCCTATATCTGCTTTGATACTCATGTTGAATTCTTCTAACAGTGATCAAGACAGAAGCTCCCTTTGCAGTTCAATTTTTCAATGAAAGGCATTTTCATGGAATAAGACCTTTTTTAAAGTTAGTTAATAAATCAATTTTATATTTGTTTTTTGTTTTGTTTGTTTGTTTTTTGAGACTGTGTTTTGTTCTTGTGACTCAGGCGGGAGTGCAATGGCACAGTCTCGGCTCACTGCAACCTCCGCCTCCCGGGTTCAGATGATTCTCTGGCCTCAGCCTCCCGAGTAGCTGGGATTATAGGCACCCACTACCATGCCCGGCTAATTTTTTGTAGTTTTAGTAGAGACGAGGTTTGACCATGTTGGTCAGGCTGGTCTCAAACTCCTAACCTCAGGCAATCCGCTGGCCTCGGCCTCCCAAAGTGCTGGGGTTACAAGCATGAACCACCATGCCCAACCTAAGTTTTATATTTGACATCATGGAAATCATGTAGTGTAAAAGAATAATGCACCTCTTTAATGGCCTCAGGCAAATCAGAAAACAAGAGAATTTAAGTTTTAAGTAATACCAGATGAAAGCCAGATGACATGATAGCATGTTCTACAGCCAAAGGGTTCACATATTTTCATAGAGAAGCCAAGTCTTCCTAAAGTACACAGAAGTATAGGCATGTTATGATCAGTCATAATTGCACATTCATCATTATAAAGGAAAGTATTGCACATTTCCTTTGTGGTAACAACTTCCCTTGTTATTTCATTGTTACATTACTTCATTAGCAATATGGGTAGTAGTTAGTATGAAGAGTTGCTTTTTAATTTTTTTTTTTTTTTTAAGACGG